TTGATGGCGGTCAACGCCTGGGCGCGGACCTTGGGCAGCGGGTTCTTGGTAGCCTCGATGAACTTGGGGAGCAGGTAGTTGAGGGGCCGCTGTCCGTTGTGCTCACGCTCCAGCACCTTGACGTTGTCCTCGCAGATCTTGGCCATGGCGGACATGGCACCCTCCTGGGCCTCGTTGGAGACCTGGCCGTTCTCGTTGGTGATGAGGCTGAGAAGCTGGGGAAGCAGTTCGGGCCAGCTCAGAACGCCACCTCTTCTGACGATCTCGGTCGCAATGTTACCAGCAAAGTTGCGAATCTGCGAGTTCTTGTCCTGGATGCCCATGGGAACGGCCATCTTGACGAGGGTGAGGCTGCTCTCGGGGATCTGCTTGTAGCTAGAGCGCACATTGTTCTTCAGCATCATTGCGGCGGCGCACCGCACGGTGTGATAGTCCTGGGCGGAGCATTGTACGCCGGAGGGGGGGTCGGGGCTGGAGAAGAGATAGGCAAGGTAGTTGTTGATGTCGGGAGAGGACTTTGCCTGGGTGAGCATCTGCGCATCGTCAGTCAGCAACGTCGGCAGCGGACAGGCGTCGGGGCAATTGGCGGAAGGAAGCTCACCAGGTCTGCCTGCTTCTGCGCATTCTTGTCGAAGCCGCTGAGCGAGTCCTTGAGGCAAGCGGCCAGCTGGCTCAAGGACTCTGGGGCCGGCTGCCAGGCCATGACTGGCGCCTTTGGGGATGTGTAGAGTCAAAGGACTGGGGAAGGGTCGAAATCGGAGGTCGGTCCGGCTTGCGATGTTGTCGTGTCGGAAGTTGAGAGAGCAGGGCGGGATCGCAGCGAGAGGGGCAGTCGTTGAAGTTGTTCGTTCAAGACACAGGCCAGGCGTAGACACAGCACGGCGGGCACGCAGTACCGAGCGAGGGCAGTGGGCGTTGACATTGGGCGACGGGCTGGCGGATGGTGGGGTCACCCTGTCAGCTTTTTTTTCGCGATAACTATGGTGCGGCGGAGTAGCGGGCAAGGGAATGGCCTTGTACCTACCAGGCAAGGTAGGCGGGCAGCACCTACGGCGGAGGTAGCTGCAGCAGTGCGCCGCGTGCTATTGGGCCAGTTTGGGGGGGAGAAAGGTACGGACAGGCCAGTGTTGCAGCGCTAGTGGTGCTGTAGTGATCTGACCTTTTTTGGTGGCCGCAGCATGGGAGTTGAGATACCTTACCGCAGGTACCTAGCAGAACAGCGGTGGATGTACGGATAGACAAGTACCGTGCCTTATGTAAGAAAGCCTCGCCTGCTACCGAAACTCACGTACCTTTACATTTCGGCGTCTGTTCTCGGCTGGGGTACATGGAGGCAAGTCCAACGTCGGCTCGATGAATGAGAAGGTCTGTGGCCAGGGAAAAAGCAGCAGGAAAGAAATCAATGCTAAATTTAGCCGTGCTTCTTGCCGCTCAGAGAGCCTGGAAGACGGAAGAGGACTGCAGCAGACAAAGTCTATTGTGGTGGTGGGTGGTGAACAGGTGGTGAGGGTGGTGGTGCGCCGTGTAGGTACTGCGTAATTGCTAGCGGTAAGGTAGTGACTTTTGCCTCTGCCCCGCCCCAAACAAAAAGATTTGCCCGTAGCCTCCTCCTCTTCGGTACCTCGTTGCTGATTGCTACCGAGTACTGACATGTTGAATTCAGCGTTGTGTTCAGGGTGCAGCAGGTGGGATGCAGTGGGTGGCCCGGCTGGGGTTGGGGTTTTGGGCCGGGGTCCATGGGGATCCATGGAGGAGGCATGCCCACTGCCCATGAGCCGACTGATTGATTGACTGCTGCCCGCGGAGTGGCAGTGAAGAGTGGGAGGAGGAGGAGAAGCCATGCATGGCGACGACGGTGGACTGGAGCTGAGAGAGGAGACGGTTGGACAGGAACCAGGAAAAACCCGAGAAAAGGCGGAAATGGGAGGATACACTACCTCACACTTGCCCACCAGTACCAGCACCGGTACCAGTGTCCGTTCCAATACCAGTACCGATTCAACAATGTGCAAGCAAGTCCAGCCCCCGTGCCTCGACCTCGACGGCCGCCTCCACGTCCCTCAGTCCGTCCATCCTTCCCACTCCCGCCGCGCGTGTGTCAGTCTGGCCAGTCCGCCCGTCCTTCCACTTTTGCTAGCGTTGATGCACTGCGCCAGTGTGAATGAGGTGTGGTCTGCTGAGGTGCGCTGCGTTGCCTCCCATGCCACATGCACACCCACCCGTCTGCTGCTGCTGCTGCTGCTGCTGTTGCCGTTGCTGCCAACCACCAAAAATTTGAATTGGTACATTGAATGCCTGCCCAAGCTCGCCATCCTGAAGACATGGCCCGTGCTTCCTGTCTACCCCTCGCTCCTCCTCTTTCTTCGTGGTTCAAACTTGGACGGGCAATATTTTTTATCGATAACGCCCAAAGGCAAAATGGGCAACCTTTTCCCCTCTTGTCGCCTGTGACCCCGACAAGCAGGAATGACCCCGCCAGGGTTCACCTCCCAACCTTAGGTTTTTATCTCAGACAGTGGACCTCCGCCTGCTCTTGCCGTTTCGCACTGGAATCCGAGCAGAAGCTTTCCAGACGCCCTTCCCTCCTTCTGGAATCCCATTGTGCCCGTCTGCCCATTGTTCGAATCCCGTCGAGACAGGACGACCGTGGAAACATGCCAACTGAAATGCTGCACACTTGTCCCCTGTCCTGCAACGGTACCGCCGCCCAGCCAGCCCAACCGGTTCTGTCCTGCATCTCGCATCTGGCCTTTGATGTTGCCAAAATGCAGTGGGACTCCACCGCGTTGCACAACCAGCGGCGGGCACAATGTGAACCAGTGGCAGGAGCAAGCTACACGCACCCACAGTGACATAGACCGCCATCAGACTGTCGTCAACATTGCTTCTTCCGTCGCCTCCGGGCGCATCACAGTCCACCGAGAGAGCCCGCGAGGGCACCACACAGCAAAACCTCCCCAAGGGGGCGAGGATCAAACCCATGGGTCCCATCGACCTGACGCCGCCAGGGGTCCCCGCCCCGTACTCTCGACAGGACAGAGTTGCTGCGGGCGGATGCTTCTGGATCATGACCGAACAGACTGACTTCATGCTCTTCTCCCTCGCCCGAGTCATCAACCCCCAGAAGCAGCCCTCCGGCGGTGTCGAGAAGAAGGACCGGACAACCTGTGCGGTCCTCGTAGAAGCAGTTCCCAGGTTCAAGGTATTACGTGCAGATCCTGTGACTTGTCAGAGCGTATTTTCCGCAAACATGAGCCGAACTTCTGCCACGAAACGGGACCAAACACGGCCATGTGGCCCGCAGAGAAGAACGGACGACCGCATTCCCTTTTGACATGGCCGCGTCCTAGCCTTATTTGCCTTTGAAGGCAAACACTTTCCAGAAGACGTCAAAACGTGGGCACGGGATGGCCATGACATTAAGCCGCAGTCCAAGCGACGGGTCCTGGGTATCTGTATATTCATCATGACTCTGGACACCAAAGTACCGTGACACTTGCGTGATCTCGATGTCCACAACGTTCAAATCGTAGGCATGCCATTACCTAGGCCTTCAGTGCCAGGGCGATGGCCGTAATCCACGCCTGACGACGGCCCGAGGCCACATGTCTCGCCCGCCCCTCCACCGGTCCGCCGAGACAAACTCGCGAGCCCGGCACGCCGCATATCGCCCCCGCCAGCCCCCGTGTAACCGCCGCCGCTGGCCGCTTCGGGAAGGTGTAACCAGCATCTCATCTGCTTTGGGGGGAGGGCTTCTCGAATGCAGCGCTTGCAATCAGAGACAGTAGAACTGTGCGACCGCGCCTGTCCTTCTCCTGAAGGTCCTCCTCCTCTCCCTTGATGCGTGCATCCGCAGGCACACACACGTCAGGCCACCCCGTTGACGGGTGCCTGACCCTTAAGCCTCGCCGTGACGACGTCGACGACGGCGCGGAACGCTTCCATCTCTTCCTCGACGGAAAGGGCCATGGCAGTTCCGCCCAGGTTCACGGAGCAGCCGACGTAGACGGGCATGTCGGCCCGCTTGGCGAGCAGCTTGGCCATTCGGGTTGCGAACTCGACGGTCGACTCGACCGAGTAGATGGCTGTTGACAGAGGCTGGGCGGGATCAAGTCTCTGCGGGCAGTCAGTGAGTGGTCAGGATTTTGTGGGTGGAAGACATACGTTGGGCAGGGCGTAGACGAAGGACCCCAGAGCCGCAGTCGATGAGGGCTCGTCCTGGGTCGTCGATGTGAGGAACAGGGTGGCCGTTTTAGCCTTGACGGTGAGGTGGATGTGGATGCGGGTATCCAGGGACCGCGGAAGGGGTATGGATAGCTGAGTGACGCTGCTTACTGCCATTTTTTGATGTGTTATTGTGGTTTCGAGGTGACGGCCGTTTGTTGAGTGAACGAGTGAGGTCGGTGATGTAAACGCTGATGAATGTGAGTGGACGGCGCAGTGTGAAGGTCTGACTTTGCACTGTATCCCGACTGTGATCAACACCACTGGCAACATCGAAGAACAGGCCAGCAACTAGTTTTTCAACAGGACCACTGAATAAATTAGACACATACAAGTTTAATCCCAAAATTAAACCAAAAGACTTAAAACCTGCGTGATTCGAAATGGTATAATTCTCTAATGTGGTGTTGCTGCAAGGAGAAACCGCCAGCCTCTCTGTTCGTGACTATATAATCAACTCTGCTTCACGATTCCAGCACATACGACCATACCCACTGGAGAACTCGGGATCCCGTCCGCTCTCCCATAGATAAGCCAGTGAGGGCTGGAGTAGTAGTCGGGTCGGTGACGACCGGCGAATGCCCGGTGTTGTATGTTTTTGCCCTTTTGTTTTACTCCTGGGCCTGTTATCATCGTCTTGATTCTTAGTTTTTTGTTGACTGATTACGGTATTGAACCTCTTTGATGGTTGTACCTGTCTATCATTTTGGTTGTACAGGTCTATGCTTTTATACAATGCCATTGTGTTTGGCCTACGGCATCTCGAGCTCCACACTTCACTGGGGCCTTGAAGGTTCCTCCTCGGATTGCTGTTCAGTCGTCTCAGCCTCTTCAGACTCTGTTTGTTCAACCTCCTCCACCACCTCCTCAACAGAAGACTTCTTTGTTATCCTGCTAAACACAGCCAAGAAGCCACCTCCAACAACGAGGGTGCCGACCTTGGGTCTGCAGACATACCCCCTCGACGCGGGCCCGGTGTCCCCGGCCCGCTCAAATTTGCGGATGCCGACGGCCTTGACCTCCCAGTTCCTTCCGCCGAGGGCATCCTTGAACCCGGAATCGCTGTTTGACGTGGACGTGTGCAGCTCGACGACGCGGTCCAGGACCAGCGGCTGGCCCGTATCCTTGGCCCACATCTCGAACTCGAGGATCTGCGTGATGGAGGGGTAGAACACCACCATCTTCCCGCCGGGTTGCAGCGCCTGCACCGCAACGTCCGCGTGCTCCTGCGACGCCGGCAGGTCCAGGATGACGTGCGCGAGGAACGGCTCGCCGCCCTTCTCGGCGAGGCGGGACGAGAGGTACGACCGGATCGTGCTGACGTGGAAGTCGACGTCGGAGAGGTACAGGCCGCGCCGGAAGTACCTGACGAGCTTGTGGGCCATGCGGCTCGACGTCGGGTTGATGTCCAGGGTGTGAAGGATCGCGCGGCGGCTGGCGGCGTGCTTCGCGTGCATCTCGGCGAGTTCCGGGTCAGCAATCTGCAGCGCGTGCGGCGAGTGCGCATATTCCGGCGCATCGTCGTCCGTCGCGGGCTTCCGCGGGAGCGTGTTCCTCTCGTACTCCGCCGTGCACAGCGCCTCGCGCAGCTTCAGCGGCACGGGCGGGTTCGCGCCGTGGATCGCCCGCGCGAGGTGCAGCGTCAGCGCGCCCATGCCGGTGCCGGCCTCGAAGATCTCGACCGGCGGGCCGTCGTCAAAGTCCGGGTCCTCGCCGGGGGACGGCAGGTTGAGGTCGAGGACGGAGACGATCACGCTGGCGTCTTGGGGGTAGATCTAACCCTGCACCCGTCAGTCTGCGGTTTCCGGTGCTATGCGACCAAGGGCCTTTCTCGTACCGGCGTCGCGACCCGTTGGGAGTTTGAGACGTATTGCGCCAGGGTGACTTGTTGCAGCCTCACATCGCGGCCGGTGGTGTCCTTGACGGCGTCGGTGAAGGTCTTGCCGATAACGTCTGAGCCGTCGAGCCTTGCGCCGTAGCTGAGTTTGATCTTGCCGTCCCTGCGCAGGGGAGGGGAAAGGTGGAATTTGGCTTCGCGATCGCCGCGCTGGCGGAGGACGATTACATCGTGTTCTGGTGGGTGTTAGGAAGTCGTTTATGTGGTGGAAGATGGCTCCATACCTTGGATGACCCGTCCCGAGCTGGCGTACCGGCACAATGGCCGATTGAGGTGTCTTGGAAGACTCAATGGCCAGAGTCTGGGTGGCATTGTGGAAATTCGGTTTGGGAATGTCGAAAACGACGTCGCGGAAATCTTGCGCGACTGAAGTGGGATGTACTCGTTTAGAAGGATAAGACTCGACAACTGCATTTCATAGCGTATCTACCAAGCAATAACTCCATACACGGAATAACTCGAATCTCGCATACTCTGTCCCTGACCTCATATCCTCAATCTCATGTCCGTGACTTCACATCTCCCATGTATCCGACTCAGGCGGGGTATTGATATAGCGCTTTCTCGCACTCAGTTGGGCATCGTACCAGAAGTTCTTGCCGTACAATGTGCATCCAAAACAACCAGCCATGTCACCTCGGCACTTCTTTCTGCCCCAACGACAACACGGCTTGCCAAGTTCAACTCGTAGTCGACGGTTCGCTGTGCGGTGCTGCTTTGCCGCCTTTTGAGCCTCGTGATCTGCGATGTCTTGCAGATGATTCCACAGACTCTTCTTCCGTTGCGCTTTTCTTTCGGCGCGTTTGAAAACTTGGCCTTCTTGCTTTTCCAACAACCGTTGCTTTCGCTCATTCCATAGAATGATGTCTTCCGGCTCGGCGTCGCAGTGTGCTTCAAGACAATCCAGTGGGTCAAGAAGCAAGTTGACGGAATCGATGATGCTCTTCTCTGAAGGTTTCTGCTTCAGCAGACCAGCGTCGTCGTGGAAACAGCTAGAAGCGACGGAAACAGCAAACTTCATTGCCGGCTTTGCCTGGTCCTCCTGGATAGCTTCTTCCCAAAGCGATGTGTCGTACATTATGGCATGGCCTGCTTTGTTGGCGGAAAAGACCTGCACGACACTCCAACGTCCAAGGTCAAAGGCTAGATGCAGGGCGTTGGTGTAGGTACGGAGATACTTGTTGCCATTGGAGTAAAGCAAGGTACACTGAATGAAGCATGCCTGCCTAGGATTGACTCCGTTGCTGAGTAGCCAGCGAACAGTCTCTGATTGTCCAAAGAAGGCCGCCCAGTGGAGAGCTCCATATTCCTGAAAATGAACGATTCTTTTCGCGTCTTGGCGAGGGTCCACAACAATAAGCTTGAAGTCGTCGATGCGTTTATCGATTTCCATGATCTCCAGGCGTTTCTTCTGGATCTCTTCATCTGCTTCATCTTTCCACCCCGGCGGTTTGATCTCCGGGTACTTCTTGTAGTTGAGCATGCTTTTGGCGCGTTCCAGCTTCTGGATGTCTTTTTTGAGGCGCTCCAAACTCTTGTCCCGTTTGCTAATGAGTGCCTGCTTCTGAACCCATGCCTTGGTCAGCTCCTTCTTGTTGTTGACTGTGGCGCGGAGGTTTTGGCCGCAGGCTCGGAGAACCTCGAGCGCCGCGATGTTGCCCATCTTGGCTGAGTGGATGAGGGCTTGGTGTCGTTTCTTCCTTGCGGCTGCCATATAGAGGGAGGGCGTCGCGATCTCGTTTAGGCGGCGGTTCATCTGGGCGAGGGAAGCGAGGCCCCGGATGTCTCGGACATCTTTCAAGATGATGAAGAGCAGCTCGTTGGGGAGGGTTTCCAGCTTTGCCATCGTACTCGGCGACGTTTGTGTCTTTGTCTCAGTCTATTTGGTTCTTCTCTTGCGTTGGGGAAAAGATCTTGCTGCGGCGTGAGTTTGTGGACGCGTGGTAGTGGCAGAGGTGAAGAGGAGAGCGACGTGAAGGTGAAAAAAGCTGAGGTGAGGAAAGTTGGAGATCGCACAAGCGAGAAGGAAGGAACGAAAGGCGGTTCCAAAAATTGCAATTTCGGATTTGCGTTTTTGAGCGTTTCCAGCAACGTTGGAAGGATGAGAAGGTGAAATGTCGCGAAAAGGAAGGGGCGAGGACACGGTTGAGGTGAGATGGGAAGGTGTCAAGCTGCCAAAATGCTTGATCGACGCACCTGCCTCGCGGTCGAGATGGCAAGTCGTTGTAGAAATGGCAGGAAGTCGCTTCCACATAATCTCTTTTGCCCCAACTTCACCAAATCATCAACATTTCCACGAGACAAAGCCAGGACTTCAACCAATATCCTTCCCCCATTGCCGTCAGGTGCCAGAGCTTTTGACAAAAGGATTACGCGCATAGTTAAGTCAGTGATACTGTATGCGCAGGCAACCGCAGGCAAAGCTCCCTTCCTACGTCACTGACAACAGCTAGGCAGGATGGCAACTTTCAACAATCTACCTTCGTAGGTCCGTCTGATCATCGCCGGTTATCTGATGAACTCAGCACACCTCTCACGTTTTGGAAGAGTGTCACGCAATCTAAACGGCCTCGTTAAACCACTTCTATATCGCAGAGAAATCCGGAAACCCTGCAGAGAGAACCGGGTTCTGACTTGGGCGGCTAAAAAGGGACATCTTGACATCCTGCAGCTATTGTTAAATTACGGCCAGGACGTTGGAGCGATCAAATATACGGGTTGGGACTGGTACGTATTTCCACCCAAGGAGTGTCTGCCTCTGGAGGTGCGAGGGAAAGGAGAGAAGAAGGTGCTGCTCAGCAGGGGCCAGAGGCACGGAGCCATTCACAACGCAGCCATACATGGCCACACCGAGGTCGTCAAATGGCTTATACAGCAAGGCGTGTCGATCTTCGAAGACTCTCTCAACATTTGTGGCTGCCCTTCGGGAATCACTTGGCAGGCAGATATGCCGTGGCCAGTGAACGGGCCCCGAACAGCTTGCCTTCTGGCAATTCTACACCAGCATTACACCACAGCTCATGTCTTGATGGAAGCGGGGGCCGGCGTCCATGGAAACCAGTGGATGCCAAATGGAATAACCATCTGGCAGGAAGCCGTCTAGGAGGACGACGACAGATCGATTCTCAGATACGCCTCCCACATCGCTTCGACTCTCGTGTCTGGGGTGTTACGAAACGACGAGATTGAAAGTGAGGAGTCCGCAGCACAAAACAACATTGATGCCGTTGAGCTGTTGTTGCATCCAGCAGAGGCCTTGGAGGCATATGCTTTGGATGGATTCGGCAAGATTTCGAAGGCTGTGTTCCCTAGGGACGCAAATTAGGAATGCAATTCAGAGATTGACAGATTATGCCGTGTATGGGGACGGAAGAGATGCAGGGGTTTGGGTTGCCTCGCTTGCTCCATTTTCGAGACACGCTATCGGGCGAGAAAGGCCCGGGAGAAGAAGATTATTCGCCATCTTATAGGCAGGACACTGAGTTGACCCTTTGTGACAAACTTGGCTGCTCCAGTTCCGTTGTAGTTCAGTACTTGACATAGCTAATCGTTTCGCATTCACTGAGCCGTGGTCTTGTTATGCCGAGGAATGACTGTGCCCGCCAACTGGGTAATTTGTTCGGAGTCGTTTTGCGTGGCCTGCGCCGTAAGTTGGGAATCGTGGCATCTGATGTAATTTGCGTCCGCCCCTGTTTGGAAAACGACGTCCAGTATTGATGCAGATTACCAGCTCAACTGCCAGATCTTGGGGTTACGCGGCCATGATGGCTCAGGGATCTTTTAAAACGAAAGTTGTCGAGCTGAAGGACATGCAGTTTTGTTACCTATATGCAGCAGGCATTACGCTTGAATCGCTGCAGGATCAAAGGATCTACCTCAGAGGAAGGAGTATTCTTCCTCCGTTCAATTCACTGCATTCCTTATGTACTGATATCGTATACTGAAAGTTCTTGTACGCCAAAATGAGATGATGGTGATTGAGACGAACGAGAGAGACAGAAGCAAAGCCCGAAGGGAGTACGCCCGCCATGGCGCGGAAAACGGGTGGTCTTTATCCCAAATGGAAGGCAAGAGCCTCTCGCCCCTTCCTAACACGAGCAAAGGTCTACCAAAATCTTCAGAGAACGGCTCGCTAGGGGTCTCTCCATCCAATTGCGAGCGGGTACTTTCTTAAGTAGGTGAACATCTTCCCGCCACGTTCTAGGGCCGCATGGCTTTCGACTTCTTCCCTGCCATATACTGAGCATCGTGCATCTCATCACAACCCCACGCTTCCAAGTCCCCCCCTAAACGCCCCGAGAAGCCCGGCACTAACCCATCGGGTTCATGAAGACCACATGAAAACGGATAACTCCATCCACCGCATTTGCGACAATGCCGCGCAAGACCCAACCTAAGCCCGCCCTGGATGGGATTTCACTCTTCGGGGAAGGAGCGCTGCGCGACCTCTCCGCCGCCGACATGCGCAACGCGACTGCCATCATCAATGCGGTCCTTCGTGGAGATGTCGACTGTGGTAGCCAAAAGGGTCAGAAGCCTCAGAAGGCACCTGTCAGTTTCCCCTGAATTTCCCTTTTTTACTTCTCTCTTCGTTCATCCTCCTAGTACTTACCTAGTCACCAGGGCACTGGAACTTCCCGATTTGCTGAGGCCAGACGGGCCAAGGCCGCTGCCAAAAAGGCGGAGAAGGAGGCTGGGGAGCGGAAAGTGGCCGCCGCCAAGAAGGAAGAGGAGAATCCAAATGCGAAAGAGGTCGAGAAGAAGGAAGTCTTCGCCAAGGACGAGACTAGTGAGGAGGGGGCTGTGGTCGAGGGCAAGGTGAAGCAGATGGAAAGCAACGATGCCATCACCGACGTCCCGACGAGACAAATATCAGACGTCGAGTTCGAGAACTTGTTAGTAAGGCTGAAATTGAACTAGAGACGGGCTGTCAAACACATGTTCTGGAGGAAGCTCTCAAGAATCGGAGGAAAGACTGGGCGGGGCATCACAGCATACATTGCGACCGAAAGACCAAACTAGACGGATCGTTGAAGAATAATATCGATTTCGCTACTAAAGATTGGGTGGGGGTATCTCATGCCATGCAACGCTAAAGGACAGTCCAGACATCATCCAACGCATTTTTCCTGTCATCATCGATCATGTCGTGCTTCATCGTCTTTTTCTTTCCACCCATGGCCTTCTTTCCTAAGCCGTCCCGCGCGCTTTTTTCTTCGGTTTGTCCCCGCTTCGAATGAAAGTGAATGTCCCAGACAAGACGAAGAAAAGAGCGAACGGCCCTGCCAATCCAGATTATGTTTCCCTAATTCCGTGTTTTCCAAAGTAGAATGTGTCGTGGTGTCCCGGTCAGTCCAGCGCTGCTTTCCCTTCCATTGCGTTTCCAAAATATGTCCTATCGCAGATAAGGTAAAAGAATGAAATACATTAAATAGACAAATATCGTGTTGCCTCGATCGCTTTTGGGGGTGTTATGATAGGGGAGGTTTGATGCCTCGGCGCAGCCAGGCCGGCGGATACAGGAGGGTTCCGTGACCCTATACTATGAATTACAACTGTCGCCAGTGGTGTGTTGTAAGAGATAGGAGATGGATAGTATGGGATACAACCGCGACCAACAACCCAGTCAAGGGGTCGGGCGGGCCACGCAAACGCCGTCCTGTGTCTACCGGCTGCTTTGCTCTTGTGTGATGATATAGAAAATTCAACACCAAACTGGTGTTGCAGATGGGCTTGCGCCCTCTTGAATCTTTGATGCGAGATCTTCCTCTTGTTCCGGAACCTGATAATGATGCCTTTTGGATAAGAAATCAGGGGTATGTAGGATAGGAAACGAGGGTTATAAAACGCTAAAATAAAACAAAGAAGTCCCGTTAGATGCTCGCAGTGCGAGCCCTCTCCGGGACTCGTGCGTAGCAGACCATGAGCTTGAAGCTGGTCCGCCACTCTTCGCACTCCGCAAGCAGGGCACGATCGCCCCAGATGCTGCGGCTGACGGCGGTCCCCGCGGCGCTCTCGTAGCAGCGGCTGTACCACCACCGCCCGACCTTGGCGACCATCTTGGTAATGTTCTCGTCCGCCGAGTCGCCGTCGTCGTTCATCATCTCGGCCAGGCTGCGGACTTCCTTGGCCTTGCGGGTCACCGGGGGCTTGCTGCCGCCTTCGGTCCGAGGCACGACGCTCGCCACGGGCACGCCGACGCGGCAGGTCTTGACGTCGGTGAAGCCCTTGCGGCCGAGGAGGCGGAGGATCAGGTCAGAGCTGGAGCTGATGTTGATCTCGGGGTTGCGCTCGTGGATGCGCTCCTTGAGCCGGCGGATGGTGCGGCGTCCGCGGTTGCCCATGTTGTTGAGGTCGACGTCGAGGATCGAGAGCTCAATGTAGCCGCCCGGCTTGAGAACGCGGCGGGCCTCGGAGATGATGTTGCGGTAGTGGGACTCCGGGGCGGCGGTGGGGAAGCGGAAGACGACCGAGGTGAAGGACTCGGGGCCGAAGGGGAACTTGGCGGTGTGAGAAAGGTACTGGATCTGGTGGTGGTTGGGCGGGCTCAGGGGGAAGCTGGAGGAGTTTTTGTGTTCGTTGGGGAGAGGCGCCCGCGGAGACAGGTTAAAAAAGGTTGCGGCTGGGTACGTCTCTGCTGCGTAAAACGACCAGTCGTCGTTGCCGAGACCGTCAACAACAAGAATGGAGTGACGCTTGAGGGAGCCGACGACGGGGACGAGCTGGTCACGCGCTGGGGAGAAGAGGACGTGCCCAAAGGAGAGCCATTTGGAGACCGTCATGGAGCCGACGCGGAGGTTTACCTGGGAGAGAGGAGACTCGTCCTCTGAGGACTTGCAGCTGGACATGGACTGGCGGGATCTGCGGGAAGAATTGCTGCTTCGCTGGGAAGTGATGGTGGCTTTGCGGGCCAACTCGGTGCTCTCGCGGTCGATCGCGCTGGCGGGGACGTCGGCAATGGGGATCAGGGTCAGGGAGTTGGAGCTGGCTTCGGGCTTGAGAGCAAAGGCAGCTTTCAAGCGCTCAGTCATGTCGGCGCTGTAGACGCTCGACGAGGTCGCGGTGGTGTTTTCGACGGGCTTCTCGGCAGCCTTGGGAGGAACAATGGTGGGTGATTCCAGGGGTTTGAGGGAGCGCTTGGAGAGTCTGCCATCGTGGCCTTCAAGATGGAAAGGAATGCCCTTGGAAGAGGTGGCCGAGGGGGGAACTTCGCCGATGAGATCGTTGTACTCGTCCCAGATCTCATCTTCCACGAGGGGAGCATTGGGGTCCGGAATGTAAGCAAGGGCGTCAGCCATGGTGTACATCCCGCCGCTGGAAGAAGTGCTCGTGGTGCACTCAGAGTTCTTTCGGGGAGAGAAGGCGAGGAACTCGCGGCCGATCTGGACCATCTCAGGCGTCTTGAGGGGAACAATGGACGAACGGGGATCTGAGTTAGTCTCGACACTGGTTGCGGTGGTGGCAGCCGACTCGCCGCGGGAGAGCTCCGGGGTAGACAGCTCCGGGGTCGGGCCAGAGGCGACAAAGTCGGGGTTGAAGCCTGCATCGTCCGGCGGCATGCTCATGCTGATCCTGTTGAATGGGCGCGAGAAACTCCTCGACGACGTGTGCTCGGGCCGAGAGGTGACTACCTTTGGGATGCGCCCGACTTGAGGCAAACGACTGGGGCGTTCGGCTGGCTTGGCGGCACTGGACTGCGAAGCCTGCGTCTTCATGGAGCGGATGGCAGGGATGGACGTGGAAGTCGGCTTGGCAGAGGCAGAGTTCCTGCGCGCCTGTGATGACTTTGTCGGCTGCGTGAGCCTCGACAGCGACTCCCTCCTTTGGTCCTGGCTTGTGGTCGAAGCCCGTCGCTCCTTGACTGTCTCCTTAATCGGCGGTGGCGATGGCAGGTCAAAGACGGCTGCCTCGCGGAGAATCTCCTCAACATCTGGCGGTCCAGAGTCTTCTTGCTCAGAGCCGTCCATCATTGTGTAAAAGGCGGCCGGCTTATGCTGGACCACCTTGACGGTGGCAGCAACGGGAACGGGCTCGGGCTCCTTCTTGTTGGGCTGGCTCCGAGATCTGCTAAAGAGCTTCCACTTGCTTGGAGAGCGAGCTCGCTTGGTCAGCTTCTTGGGCGGCGTCGCGGTGGCTGCGGCAATGCGACCGCGGATGACTTCTCTGTGCTTCTCAAACTGGGAGTCGTCAGACAAGATGGTGGTGTCGTGGCTGTCCATGGATGGCGTTGAGATGCCGGTGGTGTTGATGGGCTGCGGCAGCTTGAGAGGGCTTTGGTCGGGAGACGTTCTCAGCCGTTGGACGGACCTCCTGAAAGCCAGGGTGGACTTCATGGTGACGGCCTCAGAGTCGCTGCTATCGGAAGGACGGCGATGACTGAGGGAGGGGTGAGGACCGCGAGGAATGGCGGAGGGGGCGAGCCCAAACCGGCCAGTGCTGGAGGTGGTTGACGTCTCCGAGGCGTACCCGAGGCTTTGATTGCTCTCCGAACGAGGCAGGTCGACGCTGTTGTTCCTATTCTCAACGACACTGCCGCCAGAGATAATGACGGGGTTCATGCGCTCCAGAAGGAAGGTGTCGGTTGGCTGGTTGCTGCTGAGGCTGTCCTGGGACGAGGCAGGGCCCATGCTGTTGCGAGCCCCGTTGGCGGATGAGCTGCCGCTTCGTCGCCGAATCGCACCCAGCCGCCCGTAGCCCTCGTGCCCGGTGCCAGCGGCAGGCCCCTTGCGTGCCGGCTTCTCCTTCTTGTCGATCTGAGTGACCTCGGGTGCCGTCTTGCGACGACCGAAGAAGGGGAAGCGACTGAACGCTGACGTTCCAGGGCTGGGAGTGCGAGTCGGGCGCTCCTTCTTCTTGTCGGATGTCGCTGGTCGAGGAGCCGGCGTAGCCTCTCTGCTCGCGGGCAGGCGGGATTGCGGAGGCTTCTCTGAATACAGAGGCGTGACAGACCGCGAGAGGACCTGCGGTTCCGGACGCCTGTCGTTGACCAGGGACGCAGACGAGAGGTTGCTGTGGATGATGGGCAGCGGCCCAAACAACTGCGACTGCAGGTCAGGGGTGTTCTCCCTGCTAGGCCGGGCTGGCGGTGTCTGACGGGGCGAAGCACTTGGCATCAGACGCGGAGGAGATTGCACCGGTGACGGCGGGGTCATGATGGGCATGGCCGGCTCTCTGGCCGCCTTGGACGGGGACTCGTCATTGCCGGGACTCTGGGTGAACTTCTGCGACGACTTGCGGGGCGGCGGGCTCGGGGGCAGGGGCGACAGCCTCTTCTTCTTTACGGACGATTTCCGCTCGACCTCTCGTACGGTAGAGTTTGACGACGAGGATGTAAGAGACTCGCGGACGGCGGCGAGACCTTGGGGGTCGGCGCTAAACGCATCCATCTCATTCGCGCTTCCGGCTCTTCTCCGGGTCACTGGTGGCCGGGTTACGGCCGGGCTCAACTGTCTCGTCCGGGGGGCAGGGATTCGCATCGGGATCACCAGGCCAGGTGACTGTGACGACATTGACGTGGGAGTCGTGTCTCGGCTGTACGGTCCTGGACCGGGCGACTCGGAGAATCTCGTCGAGGGGCTGCCGCTGAAGGCGCTCAATTGGCTGCTTGTTCCAGAAAACACGGGCGTCGGAGGCGGCAGGTCGTGAGTGGCCAACCTGTGGAGGAAGTCGACGCTGGAGTCCTCGGAGGAGGTTGATGGTCGTCCGGTGTAGGTAAAGTCTCTGTATCGATCTAATTCGGGGTAGATGGTGACGGGCTGCGCCTGGGTTTTGGGCAAGTCCACAACGTGGGCGATCCGGATCTCTGTCGGGCTCTCGGTGATGCCCCGGTCGAGCTGCATTCCCGGGTCGAGCGAGGACCGTGATCGAGGAGCAGACGATGAGGAGCTCGTTCGCGTGGAGTCGGTCGAGCCATGGCTAAGACTTGGAGTCTTTTGGGCGACGGAGGATTTCTTCCTTCGCAGAACGTTGCGAGGCTTGGGGCCGGTCTGGGAGCGCCCCGAAGAGGACGAGCCTGACATTGTCGGAACGTGGCTCGGTCTTTCCGAGATGGTGCTGTTGGAGCTCCATGATTGCGTTTGGTGTGTTAGCGGAGGTCGGTTTGAAGGTACCGGAAGAGCTGGACGCCTCGACGAAGGCTGGAGCTCCCGCGCCGATTTGCTCTGGGGCTGGGTGGGTTGTTGGATCGGGATTCGGATGCTCTCTCCTTCTCTGCGCACTCGTCTTTCTTCCCTGGGTTCCATGTACGCTCTTCTCGCTCGTATCTGTTCATCTGGACGACTCGGCAAGCCTGAACCCGTGCGGAGGGTTGCCATATTGTCCTGGAGAGATTTCTGGGCCTTTCCACCATTACCAACTCTTCTCAAATATCATGTTCAGTCACGATGGATACGTGAAGCCTGCCGAGGAGTTAGCGGCGGACGGCAAAAAGTGGCTACGAGAACAACCTGGCAGTGACGACCCGACGTCCTCAATTAGGTGCTGACCACGCTGGGCGCAACGGATCAGGCGCAAAATCACAGGAAACAGAAGAGTAAATCCCTCGACCTCGACTGACTAACAGCAAAGGAATAAAAGGGTGTCCAGCAGTCCCAAGTAGGCAGCTTGGGGGCTGGGATGTGACGCCGAGCACAGCCAAGGGGAGCGAAATGGGGATATAAGAAGAGACGGATCAAAGAGGCACAGTCGACGAGAAAAGATGAACGTCCTGGAACGAGCAGAAAGGAAAAGGAAGTGAAAAAATTATCACCAGGGAATGCTGGGCGCGGAAGAGGGGGAAGGGATCCGGAGCTGAGATGGTGGTGGTGAGGTGTGATGGTGGGGTGGTGGGAGGTTGCGCGGCTGTCGAGGGGAAGCCGATTCGGCTGGGAGGGTCGTGGTGGTGGTGGAGGGGTTCGGAGGGGTCCTCGAGATGGTGGGCAGAAGCCGCGTCTAGACACCAGCGCTGGCGCCGTCGGTGGGATGCTGTGTAGTATGAGCCAGCCTCTGTGTTGTGACGGCAAGCTGATGGGGATGTTTGGGAATGCGACTGGTTAAGCTTCTGGGGAAGAAGAGGCCGTTGGGTTTAGCCTTGAAGATGGGGATGGAGTCCAGATAAGTTGCTGCGGAGGGGCAGACGGCAAGCTCTGGTGGCAAAAGAAAGAGGGCAGGGTATCTAGGTAAGGTATCGTGTGGCAGATGTCTGCTGGCCGCATACGCAGTGGACAGAGTAGAGAGAAAAAAGAAAGCTACAGTCGCAACGGCCAGGTCGGGACAGAGAAAGGCAAGATTGGATTGTATATAGGTCAAGCAAGGCATCTCGGTCTCTCTTCCATTTTGCCTGGAGCCGGCCTGCTGGAAAGCAGCCGGCGTGGATGGACGGAGGACGTCGGCGAGGGCAAGGTAGGGAACCTTAGCCAGCAGGGGTATGACTAGCAAAAGAGGACGGTAGGCCGTACGTAACGGAGTACTCGGGACCTGCAATGTTATTCTGTGTCTGAGAGGTGTATCTGGCCTGCATCTGCATCTAAGGTATCTAAGGTACAGATGGACTCGATTGCTGCTATTCTTTGCGCGTGGCGTCTGAACCCTTGCACCCGGGCTTTAGCCTCTAGCGTGCAGCGGTCAAGAAATGGGAATCATGGGCCCAGGTCAGGTGAGGAGCTGCTGGAAACGCCGAGGGCGGCGCTCTGGGATTGGGCAGGCGAGGCAGGGAACGCGCGCAGGAGGGAGCAGATCAGACAGCGGTATGCGCCAGTCACGATGTTGAGTCATCTCTGGGCCGTTTGGGGGAGAGAAGCGAGGGTCTGGAAAGGGGAGTACTACCATTGTGTACGGAGCAGTAGAGGACTAGACAGGGAGCAGATGCGAACTGTCGCCGTGGACCTACATAGTAGTAATGGGCCATTGACGGGTCTTTCTGCAGATGCACAGGAGAAGCAAAACACAGGCAGACAGGGCATGGAGGGCATGGAGGGCAGCGAGGGGAGACGAGGTGGGGAGGAGGAAGAGACGCTGAAAGAGGCACCGACAACCAAGGGCTGGCTGGCGGCAATCTCTGCAGACTGCGAGGCGTGCAAGTGCTGGGCTGTGCCGCCATGCGGCAAGAGACTCGCCCTGTACTCTGCATACACGGCTCGTCCTATGGGAGTCGCGAGAAGGCTTGAGAAGGCAACTGGACGACACCATTGGGCCGCAACCCCCTGTCGTGCCCTTGCCCGGATTGGGGGTTGTCTGCATCGTCTGGGATGATGGGATGCTGCGAGTCTGGGGGTGAGGGCAGGGGAAGGGGGGTTGTGGGCACGTCGAATTCGATGTTTTGCTTTTGCAGAATTGAGAGAGAGAGAACCGCGGGACGAGACAACTACCATGGACAGAAGAATGGCATCATAGCCCGGCCAGTGACGGTGACGATGTCGGTGACGGTAGTGGTGGTGCTGGCGACCCGTAGAGATGGCTGTGCTTACCGCCAGTCGGTCGACGCTACAGGGAGACCGACCAAAAATTACCCGCGCAGCCCTTCACCGACGGCGAGGGCGGTAGTTTCTTTTGGGTTGGCAACTCGGCACGGGACTCGAATTGACTCTGTGGAAACTAGATGGCGGGGGCAAAACGGGCAAAAGTGTCCAAGCTGGCGGCTGGGAGTGACCCTGGAGCACAAAGGGGATGGCCCGCCCCGCTAGGGGTGGACGAGTGAGAAAGATGAGAGGAAAAGACAAACCAAAAAAGAGTTCTCGTCGTCCGTCGTCTCGTGAGTGAGAAGGCAAAAGTAATAGGCGTGGTGTAATAAGGATGGAGCGGGCAGGGATGGGGCTGGACGCGGTCGTCGAATAGCCGGTGATATGTTGGCTGAGCGTTTGTTAATGGGAAACGACATCGGATGGGGCATGGACGGAAATGGCCATCAATGGCAGCGTTGGCAGGCATCGAGGACGACGCCGTCGAACTGAAAAGACGCAGTTGCAGCAGCTGGAAACCGGAAACTGGAGAACGAAAGCGAAAGGACGGAAAGCGGCGATGGACCACAGGTGCAGGTCACAGACTCAACTCACAGGCCGCTTTCTGGAGGGAGCGGGCAGGGCAGGGCAGGCGGCCCAGAGAGCGGGGGTCACCACAACCGCACAAGCCAGGTGCAGCTCTGCCCATTCCCAAAGCGGCACTAGCGCATCGGTACTTTGCCCATGTACCTGCGGGTCCAGACGGCTCAACTGGAACGTGCGCAACTGCCACTCCGAGTCCAACGGCTCTCTCATTTTTCGTTTGACTCTTTTTTGGACTTTGCACTTTGAACGCTGCAGCCCTGGGACTGCTAGGCCCATCGACAGCCTCTCGACACCTGGTCGTTTCTAATTCTATA